AAAGTTGATGGTATTCAGTAGGTAAAGAAAAAAATATATCACAACAGGTTGGAGTAAGCTAAGAGAAAGAATTTTTAGATATTTTAATTTGTTTGTTTAATTTATACCCCAACTTTCTTCTGGTATAGGACCCATTGATGATTGATTTCACAACAGTACTTTTAATTTACTTAAGTACAAAATGCCTTATTATAGTGCCAGTGAATCTTTGAATATTGTATTGTTCCTACAAGTTAGATGATCTTTCTTCCTTCTTTCTCTTGCTATGTGTGTGTATACATACACACATATTTTGAAGAAATTGTGGAATGCTAGTTTGTAGAATCAAGCAGTTCATACTCTAAAAATTCTTGCCACTGTCCTGGACTTCTTGCTGTGTCTAGAAGAGGAACAGAGCTTGCTTAGTTCTTGGCCTCTTTCTCAAGCAGCATTTGTCAGACTGGATTAGACTGTAAGTGCCAGCATTATAAGGGCTGGTGTCCATTGAGGTTGAATGAAGATCTCTAAGCTAATTTCACAAAAGCACTCCAAATATTCTTCAAATGGCCTAGAGGAAATAAGAAGGGAAGAAAGGCAAGCTCTTCTGCTATGCTAGCAAGCTTGCTTTCTTTTCAGCCTTCCTTTCTCTTCTTGTATGGTCTCAGAGGAGCAATGCCTGGTGATTAGTATTTAGAATTACAGGGCAAGCAGGTTTGGTCTCAGGTTAAAAGAGAAGGGAGGGAGAGCCTTGGAAGTCTGTTGCGGGGGAAAAAAAACTACCAAACAGACTTGGTTTGACAAGTGGGACTCTCTGTGTTGAACATGAACTAGCAGCATTCTGAGTATTTTCAGCAACACAAAAATAAACATTGGAAAAGAGTAACACCTACTTTCTGTGCTCTGCATAGATGCTGTCAACCAACACTATTCTTTTTAATACCCTCCAGGGCTTAATTTGATCTATGTTCACTCGCTCTTAGTTCTAGAATATCTGAAGTAATAATTGAGAATGTTTTGAACACGTGAAAATACTGTTCTGTTCTGCTGCCGTGGTGGATCTGCAGATAGAGTCTCATCATCCCATCACTAGAATGAATACAAGTCTAATCAAATAGAAAGGCCAGTGAAATCCTAGCAGTTCAAATATACAGGTGCTGTTGCTCTTTTTCTTTTTCCTTGAATTTATTTTCATGGTGCAGGGGTTGTAACATAAATCTGTCATAGTTTTTTCTTGGCAAAATCCTTTAGTGCCAGTTTGCCATTGCCTTCCTCTGAGGCCGAGGAAGTACCATTTGTTCAAGATCACCCAATGGGTTTCTGTGGCTGAGCTGGGACTCTGATCTCTCACAGTCCTGGGACCCTTCTATACTGCCATATAATCCAGATTATCAAAGCAGATAATCCACATGATCTGCGTTCAACTGGATTATATGAGTCTACACTGCCATATAATCCAGTTTAAAGCAGTTAATCTGGATTTTATATGGCAGTGTAGAAGGGCTGTACTCTAATATTCAAGTTACTGCATTGGCTCTCAAAACAGGTGCTATTCCCATGCCTTTAATATATCTTGCCCTGGCATTGTGGTTTTGCAATTCTCTTCCACTACATAGTTACACATTGCAAGTTGTAGCTGCTTCCTTGTTTTTCTTCCTTTCAAGGTTTATATATAACCTCTCTTTTCTAATGGAAAGAAAGATTTCTTGTGGCAGCAATCTACCCTATCTTCTGAAAGGCAAATAGAGATTATGTATCACATCAACATTTTTTTTCTGAAATACTCAAGACATGTCTGTTTAGATGGAAGATTTTGTTTTGTGATGAGACCTTCACATATACAAAAGAGATGAACTTCAGTGATTCTTCATATCCTTGTCTCAGTGTTTGAATCAGCATAAATAGAGAAATGAAGTATTAACTGTAGTAGTAAGTCACCTGTTGATGCTTAGACCATAGGCCATTCACTTATAAAATAAATAAATACAAAAATATTACACAAAATAAATGGCATATAGATGTTGCACATTAAAAACATTCAGTATGATGAAAATACAATTAAAACATTTTAAATATAAGCAGCAGTATTAGAATCATAGAATTGGAAGAAATCCCAAGGGTCATCCAGTCCAACCCCCTGCCATGCAGGAAAATATGATCAAAGCACCCCAACAGATGGCCATCCAGCCTCTGCTTTAAAACCCCTCAGAGAATAAGATGTCCCCACGCTCCAAGACAGTGAGTTCTCCTGCTAAAAAACTGTTACTATCAGGAAGTTCTTCCTAATGTTTAGGTGGAATGTTTTCCTTCTATTTGAACCCACTGCTCTGTGGCCCAGTCTCCAGAGCAGCAGAAAACCCCTTTTGAAAGGATGTCATATTGAGATTAGATAAAATTAGATTAGATAAGGACATTCCCAGAGTAATCAACTGCAGTTTATGCAGTCCTTTTTCAGAATTTTCATTTGTACCAGGGCAAAAGGAGAAACCTTCAAGTTATCATAGAATCAGTATCACACTTGAAGGCGTCCCTGGCTTCAGTGTCTTAGGCTCCTTCTACACCGCCATATAAAATTTAGACTCATATAATCTCATTCAAAGCAGATAATGCTGAACAGCTACTTTGATAACATGGGTTATATGACAATGTAGAAGAGGCCTTAGAATGCTGTCCAGGTGGTCTTAAATGTGAATCAGCAAAAATGTATCTGTACTTGATAAAATGAAGGAGTAAATATGTCATAGTTGTATTAATGGTCTTTCATTTATTGGATTTTTTCCCCATGTAATCTCATACTTTCATACATGAAACTAATGTGGAGACAGATACAATGACAATACTGCTCATGAGCTAACTAGATCTTCTTCCCAAGTGGGCGAATAGCCATATTCATATATTTAAAGAGTCTCCGCAGGCAATATGTCAGATAAGAAATATAAGAATAATATCCTGGTCGGTTGGTAGGCATCTTCTGTTTAAGTTAAGAGATATGACTTTTTATATTATATTCTTCTTATATTCTTCTAGTGTGATACCAGGCCTTTCTAGCTCAGAGATCCTTCTGACTTACAGAACTAGCAGTGTCTTCTCAGTTAATTCAGCTGTGCTGGATAATATTCATTTGTTAAATATCTCAGTGAGCATATGTGGAAGGAAGTGTGGATGCCTCATTCCCTCCTTCCGTGTAGGCATCTTGCATAGGACTATTTCTTTCTTGTTTTACATTAATGAAGTCTTCACTCTTCCCACTGTTAACACCTACGCATGTACTGAACGTCTCCAAGGAGACAAGGAAACCCTTGAGTCCAGCAATGGTGAATCCTCCAATGAGGCAGCTAGCAAGAGGCAACTCCTTGAGGCATCTAAGCTTCCAGCTGTCCTCCTGCAGACATTAATTTCCTTCTGGCTCCTGCAGGCAGGCTTTCTCCTTTGCATCTGAAATGTTGGTGAGTGCTTGAGGTTTCTCCAAGTGAACTGGGTGGGGAAACACTTCATACATTTCTTTGTTCATTCCCCAGTCTCCTATTTATGTCACCCGGCTGCTACTCTCTCAACAATTCCAAATGTATTTCCAGCTCTGGCACTGGCACTGCCACTGCTGACTCCTTTTATAGCTTTCCTTCCCCACTGTTTCTTAAATCCAGCAATTGCTCCATTTCACATGGGTTCTCCTCTTAATGCTGGCTTCTAATTTCATCTTAGATTTCAGGCCTAGCATTTCCCGATACTGGGGATGTTGCATTCTGCTGGGCCACACTGCCAAGTATAGTCTATATCTTTGAAGAGGTCTGTTTTCATGAGATTTACAGTGGCAAACTAAATCTTCTTTATTAGTTTGTATGAGTTAGAAAGCTTTTTCACCCCTTTTCCTTTCTATAGGGCACAGTTAACTTATGGCATCAACTGTCACAAGATATGGGAAAGACCAATTGCTTTGATGGTTTAAAAAGAGGAGATAGCTGTCAATAACAATTAGCTTCTAATCTTCATGTAATAGTCAGAGGCTTCATATATTTCCAAATGCTAAGAACAGCAACCAGGAGATGCCTGTACTTATTTCATACACTCTTGAGGAATTTCCCAGGTAGAGTTGAGCATTGTTGCATACATGAAATTAATATGTATTTTGAGACATGATGACTATAGTCATTTAATCTGAGCCCACTGACAAAAGGTACACACATATTATCCATCTTATTTGCAATGAATTCAAGGGGATTTCATTTCTGGGGCTAAGGGAGACTCTAAATATAGATAGCTCTAGGACTTCCCAGTTCAGATGTTTGACTCTTCCCGTGGTGAGAAGCAAGCAGGAAAGGCAGGGCAGGAAGGGAGGATATAAACCCAAAGTTGGTTTTAGATTGTCCCTTGGGGGAATGACAGAATAAAATAATGTATGAAACAAATCCATCACAACTACTCTTATGAAATGTGTGCCTTTATTGGGGGGAATAAAATAATTCTTTTACAAAGACTACATTTCTCAGGGGGATTTATTCTTGTGTCCTTTTAGAGAGTCTCAAAAAAGCTTAGGATGTTTGCCACCGATGACTCATTAAACTATAAAACAGCCAAGGCTGTGTTCCTACCAACAAACATTTCCCTTTGTATGTCACTCCTACAGAAACTATGGTTTCTTACATCAAGTTGTAAAATATCCATACAAACAATCTGGAGAACTGACACCATCTACTGTAAAAGCTCTATCCAACACCCCACCCCCCACCCCAAAGGATAAGGGTAGGATGTCAAACCCTGGATGTATTCCTGAGACCAATTTATTAGCACAGCCAATCAACTAGAATCACCTTGGCCATTCAATGAGAGATTGTCATTACTTTGTGAATATTCAAGCATTGATTTTCTACTATCTATTAATCTGAATATTCCTGTGTCACAGGTGTGTTCAGTTTCAGCTTGGTCTTCCTAGATTTCTTAGGTCAGCACGTTTGAAAGAATGTGCAGATAAAAGAACCACACAGTTTATCTTGTTGACATTCATTTCTATCATTGTTTTTCCCCAGGCTCTGCAGGTAGCAAGGCAGCTTCTGTTACAGCAGCAGCAACAACAACAACAGCAGCAACAGCAACAACAACAACAAATCAGTGGGCTAAAGTCACCTAAGAGGAATGACAAACAACCAGCCCTTCAGGTAAGAACCTCTGTCTTGCTGTCATGTAATAGGATCATTGATAAGGAAACTGATAGTAAGGATGTGGAGAATAATTGCTGTTTTTCTTCTCCTTGTTGAGAAATGGCGGCTCAAATAATTGAAACAACCTGTGGAGCAAATGGTCAACTGCCATAAGGTTTTTTTCTCACACTGTGCAAACAAACAAAAAACGTGAAGGCTCAAACACTGGTTATACGAACATTTATGTTAAAAAAAAAAAGAATAGTGCCAAATATATTTTATGTGCAAAATTGTTATTTTGTGAACACACTAAGATTTGTGCAAAACATTTTTGCCCCAAAGGGGTAAAGTGTGAAAAATATTTAGAAAATGCCCCAAAACTCATAAATTTGCCTAGCAGGAAGAAAACTTTTTAAATTATTAATTCTTGCATCTGAAAATTTAGTAAGTGAAGATTTATATCCCTAATAATTTAAACAATTGTTTGATTTTTTAAATTAAAGCTGATCATTGTTCATGCTAGTGGTTGTGATTCAACTATGTATGATAGTATGAAACATGAGGCAGAAGTATATCACTTATATTTATTTATTTATTATTTCACTTATTTGTATCTTGTCCTTCTCACCCCCGAAGGGGGACTTAGGGCAGCTTCACAACAGGCATTGATTCAATGCCAAGAACAACAATAAATGATAAAAGCAATTAAAACAATTCAGTAATGCTTTAAAATGACTAAAATATTATTTAAAATCACACAGGTTTGAAATCATAGTTCAGGTCAGTCCATTGTTATTCACACAAATTGAGTCTCATTCTGAATTGCTGCCTCTAATGTTCAAACGCTTAGTCCCATAACCAGGTTTTGAGTTTCTTTCTAAAGGACAAGAGGGAGGGTGTCTCTCGTCTCCACCAGTTGCATTTGTGAGGATGGAGGGACCAAGAGCAGGGCCTCTCCCGTGAATCTTAGACTTTGTGATGAGTCATATAGACCAGGTTTCCATTTAGTGAAGATTGGTTTCAGAAATTAGGGGTAGTCATCCAGCATTTTTTGTCCACCTTGTGTAAAGGAGTTGACAGTTCCTTGAAGTAAAGTAATTGTGGATACACCAATTAAGAGCTATTGAAACCAAGCTGATATGGACAAACAATGTGAATTATAGACACATGCTAGTGATGTAACTTTGTGGTAAGGTTGAAACATTTTTATGAAAAGAAGGTAATTTTGCTCTGAGATTTTCTGCAGAAATAAAGAAATCTGCCCCTTATCTCACTAGTATGTGGGAGGTGAGATCACGCACACAGATTGTCAATTTCTCCACAGTTTTTTTAATGTGTTGAGATAGCGTCTCTTAAAAAATTGAGAAAGTTTACATATATTCTTCACATCCCTACTTAATACATAAAAGGACTAAATTGTTACTCCTGTTACAGTTTAAGAAAATCTGAGTAGTTATAATTAATTCATTTCTGTCAATAACAAAGAGGTGAAATAGCACATGCTTGAAGTGGGGACCACACCGATGCTGCTGATTTGTGGGTGCGCTGGCAACTGAGACAGCAGTGAACTGGGTAGCAAAAGGCCAACAATTTGTACCATTCAGGTTTTTTAGTTTAAGAAATGGAAAAGTAAAGACATTGGCCTCCATCCAGTTAGTTCCAACTACAATAGACCAGTTGAATGAAGGGAGCAATGGAGCATACATAAGTATTCATTTAGCATTTTGGGGAGCCATCCAGTGGTTTTAGGCCTTTCCTTAAAAATGTACTTGTGAGTTACTTCAACTTGTTTCTGTGGCATAACATCAACTGTAAGTGATTAACTTTTAAGAGTAATTTTCAAAACAGTGATTATGGAGTCATTCAGAGAAGCAGATGAGATTTACAGATGTGATAAGAACTCATAGGTCTTATGGTAGTGATCAACCTCGTGGTGCTTCAGTTTATTGGAAATGGATATTATTTCAAATGTCATCTCTTGGTACATGTGTATTTAGAAAACATTTTTGTAACAGAACTTAAAGATGAATCCATGCTGTTTTGTTAAAAGTTCAAAAATATGTTAGTTTGGTCATTCCATAACTGATCCATTTGCCTTTTAATAGACTCTCTTTTACTGGGGACATTTTTAATGAGATATTGTGCTGGCAGGGCCCAGTGTCAGGTACTAGAAGAAGTGCTTTGTTGTGCAGATGTCTTAAGAATTGCTCCAGAGGATGAAATATGACTGTGTTGACCTTTCAGCTGTGAGCTTATTTGTCAGGATTCAAATAAGTTGAAAGGATCAAACCAAACAGTTTCCGTTGTCAGACTGGGAATTGTGTTTCAGAGGTCAACAGTGAGGGCCACGTTGCAAATTCCATAACGTCGCCAATTGTTGGTACATATTAAAGTATTTGAGCTACTTCTGCAGTCAGAGACACAATTAAAATTCTAATTTATTAATGTATACAGAGAGCTGGTCCAACCTGTCACTCACGGATTCAAATGACTGCCCATTCTTTTTCCACCCTTGCTCCTTGAGCTTTTGCATCCTTAAACCTACTCTTGAAAATAACAGACACTGTGAGCCCAGTGGCACAATAAAGATGTATATTTTAAAAAGGTTTGAGCATGGAAAAAATTGTTAAAGGAAAATACACAAATGCACACAGATCATTTCTTGTTCTACCTGACAAGGTGAAATATGGAATATCACAGTTTGCATTATTTTGTCAACAATTACTGTACTCAGTGTAAACCAATGCCATAATTTTACATTGTTCCTAGTTTAGACTAGGCACTTACCAAAACAAGGCTTTTTTCGTCATTTTAAATATCACAATTGTGTTACTGGATTGGCTAATATTGGTTTATTTTATTGATAGTATATTTCAAAAAATGATACAGGAGTCATTTTTCATTTTTTTAGGTGCTTGCCACTAAGTACCTTATTATTTTCAATTTCCAAAATTTATTGATTGGATGTTTATTTTACTTTTGTAAACAATTTACAACATAAAATAAGAACAAGTAGTAACACAGAATAAAATTAACAGTGTGGGGTTTTTTGTTTTGTTTTTTTAAAATGGTTTTAAAACGTCACAAAAAATGTACAGCACCCCCACGGTAACAAGCTTCTGAAACAAGGGGGTCCTGCAATCGTAAATGTGTCCTCCATGTGTGGCCATTTTCATCCTGACAGCCATAAAAATGACGGAAAGAGGACCCTCGCCATTTCCCCCATTCTTGCCAATGAGCCAAATCTTTCCAGAGTGAAAACCAAATCTCTGGCTGGCGAATCATGAAATGGTATTTCCCCCCTCCCGATTTTGCGAATTTCCCTGTAAACAGAATGGAGGCGGGCCAAAAATGGGACAGTTTTTGGCAAATCACAAGTTCCTAGAAAGCACCAATGCCTCCTCAGGGATCAAGCTACTTTTAGGTTCTCCTGGTATGGACTAAGCTGTTGCATTTTGCCATTCTATTCAACTGTGTATGTCAGCTCAGCTTTCTTGTTTGTTAGTTAGTTTGTTTGTTTTTACTCACATTTCTAGACTTATACTTGTGTATACAAGGTAAATTAGTGGATACAACCCTCTAAATTTCAAGTTTCAAATTAATGGACACAATCCTCAAGTTCGGGTTTTTTTGGACAGGCCCATTCACAATTAGCACTGCTCTTCTTAACTGCTATTGTTCCATCCTCTGATGTCCCAGAGTTTATAGTTTGGTGATGCACTAAATGCCCTTCCCAAACTACCAATCCCAGGATTCCATCCCATGGAATCGTGGCAGTTAGAGGAAACATAACTCTCATTGTATAATGCGAATGAGCCTCTGGAAATTGACCAACAGTCAGTAAAGCTGTTGCAAGAAAGGAGCTGTATGTTCTTTATACCAGACAAAAAGTCTGGCCAAAATGTTTTGGACCTCCTGATGTTTGTGAATATTTACAAAGGCAGCATCTTATAGTGGATGTTACAGTAGTAGAAATTCAATGTCATTATGACATATGGTAATAAGACCACATTGGAAATCCCCAGGAATAGGTGTAGCTGGCATATTTTAAAAGTATGTTTCTTGCCACAACCAAAATCTAAGTATCCAGTTCATGACTACACCAAAAACGATGTCCAAAATATGTTCAGCAGTATTGTATCATTAATTTGTACATATTTCTTATATATATTCATACTGATAAATACATGAATATTTGTATCATTTGCTTTAGAATAGAATATAGCACTAAGAGAACACTGTTAACTCAGAATTTTTGTGGTTTTGTGTCTACCTATTGTTGGATCTACCAGATCGGCTGCATACTATATTCCTGAAATGGTAACCAGACAGTTTGGGATAGTTTGAAAGGCTGAATACTGGTTGTTGTTGTTGTTGTTTGCCTTTAAGTCATTTCTAACATGTGGCCACCTTATCATTGGATTTCCTTGGCAAGATTTGTTCACAGGAAGGGTTTGTCTTTGCCTTTATTTAAGAGTGAGAGGGTGTGATTACGAGTGATTGCCCCCCTGTCTATGGAACTCCCTTCCTGGTGAGATTAGATCGGCCCCTCCCTTCTGTCCTTCAGAAGGATGGTAAAAACTTTGCTGTGGAACCAAGATTTTGGGACAGTGCAATAAGACAGCAATAGGAAACTTGACCATGCCAACCAGATTCGATGTGGATGATTGAGATGGTTTTAAACAGTGGCTTTTAAGGTTGAGATAAATTATTTTAGTATTTATTATCTCTTTAGTCTATTTATGTCCCGGCATTGAATGTTTGCCTTTTATTTTACGTGCTCCGCCCTGAATCACCTTCGGGGTGAGAAGGGCGGAATATAAATGCTTTAAATAAATAAATAAATATACTTTGCCCAAACTCACCCAGTGGATTTCCATGGCCAAGTTGGGATTCAACCCCTGGTCTCCAGAATTATAATCTGATGTCCAGAAGACTACACTATGCTAGCTCTATGACTACTGCACACACAGTATATGATTGCTTAATGTCTCCTTTGTCTAACTTAAGAGTGTTGG